CCCTCCATCTCAGATGTCTGGGGAAGACACTTGGCCTTCTCTCCACAAAGCTGTCTTTCCCACATATCCCAGTCACAAGAGCACAATCTGTTTTGATTTAGCATTAATTATAGTTATCAGTGTCCTCCATCAATTCCACATATTAAACAATAATACTAAAGGGGCTCTCTCCCTTCAACTACTATAGCAGTAGCTTTAAAGTTTAATTTAAATAAAAAGAAAGTGGGGAAAGTTTGCTACTGTGTTGCTCTCCTCCAATTCTATTTGATTTTTGCCATTCCCTTTTCTGTCAGAAATGCTTCACTCACTTCAGCTTGAGAATCAAGATTAATTCTCTTGGTCTGGCATAAAAAAAATAGGGATCCTCTAGTAACTTGCGTTTTGAATCTATTTACGCTATAAAGCCTATGATTACCAGTTCTTAATGTTGATTAATGGAATGAAAGACTTCTCAAGATGCTTTCAAATTCCTAAAAAGTAAAAGCCTCCAAACACTCAAAGTTTAGGTATGGGCTCCAAAGAAAAAGGTACAAACATGCCCTTTTTTGGTTCCTATTAGTCCTATTCACACTTGCAATCGGTTATCACTGCTTTCAAGCACATGTTAATACGATCTTTAAAACAAACTACTAGTTCTAAGAAATAAAGTTCCATGGACTATCCAGAATTCCAACAAAAAATAGAGTCTTCATAACTGCAGAGAATGGAAGGAAATTCTGCAACTAAAACATATCTGTTACACTGTTCATTCTTCAGGAAAAAGAGATTTAAAAAAAAAAAAATCAATCTGCAAACCTGTTGAGCAGTCTGCCTGCAGCAATCCAAAGGGGTTGAAACAGATGGAAATGTTTCTATAAATCCTGGACAAAAAAAAGTCTCAAGAGCTTAATAAAAATTGTCTTTTTTAACCAGTCTGTTACTTTGCCGGGTGGAGGAAAAAAAGTATACACATGCCCTAGGCAGGCAGATGCTAGTGGAATTTCTCCACCTGAAAGAGAATCCAAGAAGATCAAAGGGAGAAATCTACAACAGCCTGAAAGCTCCTGGGCCAGGCATGGCTGAAAATGAACTTCCCAGATATAATCTAAAGAGTTTTAGGAAGAATCCAAAAGTATTTCTGAAAATTCCCTTGAAATAAGTTTCTTCTCTCACTACAGCACACAAAATTATGAGCTGTAAGTGTAGGAAGTAAGAAAGAAAGTAAAGTCTGGAACATCAGCAGCGATCCAGCAGTAAACCCAGGCAAGCTGCTATCATTCTAAAACCAGCAACAAATCCCAGAAGGAAAAAAGAGACTCTCAGTTGTGGAGTGAACTTGGAAAATTCAGCAAAAGTTGTGGAAGAGCTTTCCTTCCAGATCAACTCCCTGGAGGAAGACCGTGGCTTGGAGTTTCTGTGTTCCCAGCTCTCTGCCTCCCTCCCCTGGGACTGCAAGCACTCTCCCTACCTGCTGACACAAAGTGAGGGTGGAGCAGCTAGCAGGAACAACCCCACCCCCTCGATGTCTAGTTTTCTGAGCTCCTGGACTCCCTCTCCTGATCTTCTGCTTAACTGCATTCAACAAGCACAGTCCTTACTAACCTCTGATTAAGCTATCACATGTAAATTAGGGTCACTCACTGGTCTTTCAAACTGACATCAAAGCAAAGTCTGTGCCCAAGGCAGTAAAGATAAAAATAAAAAATACAACAACATAAAATGAAAAGTCAGATCAATAAACAAATGAAGCACGGAATTTATCAAAGTGAATTCAAGTTCTTTCCCAGACTTCTCATGGCACTCTGAATGGCACCTAGCCAGCATCTAAAGCAACTCCCCTCTATAACATTAACTGATTTATTGCAGCCTTATGTCTCCAGCCCTGGGAAGGGCTCTGTCCATTTCACGCGCAGCCTTTCTTCAGCTCTTGCTAATTTAGATTCAGTAGCCCTTTTCTAGTTGCTACTGCAAGGAGGTTTCAGGTCATGCTGATGTCAGAGGTCTGGAATTCAACTGTTATTCTACTCTGACACCACTGGGAGGTGAATAATACTATGGGTCAGACCTATAACCTCAAAGTAAGGTTGCAAGAAGTAGTTTGTAACTTGACGTGATGGATCTGGCTGATGAGAAGATCCAGAATTTAATACAAAGAACAGTATGTCATATACTGAAAACCTACCATCTATTCAGTCATTTCTTCATTTAACTGTGATTTCAGCATTTTTAAATATTCCTCTATCAATCAAGGTATTTAGTGGAAAGGAATTGCCCTCCAGAATATGACAGAATAATGACGTTTTGGATACATGTTCAACCAAATTCATCCCTATACTCCATATAACTTGATGGAGTTACACAAGGGGGGGATCTTGATCCACTAAAATATTGAAAGTCAGTGTGGAAATGATTATTTAAACATAAAGATGATATTCGGCGCTATTCATACACTAAATATTTATTTTCAAAATATGATACATATGCCATTTAAAGTGTAAAATACACACAGAGAACATAAATGTAACATCCATTTCATTTTAATAACCTTAGTTATAGGTTACTGGAACCACCGACTGCATGTGCTGCTATAATTTTACACCTCAGTGTTAAACCAAGCTCCACACTGTTCCTACTAACAAGAAAGCAGTTAAACAAAAAAGCAGTACCTTGTTGGAGTAGTTACATTTTATTATTTACTGACTAAAATACCTTCCTGCTAAAGGTGCTGCAATACCAAGATGTTTGGTCTGGAGGATTATCTGAGACTTGTAAGGCCTTGTGCAATACTAGACTTATTTTTAAGACACTGAATGTGCCTCACATTATGCCCAAGAGAGTACCTTAAGGATAAAGAGAGTTTTGGTTGATCATACTACTGTGCATGGGAGGTATGGTAAGCGATCCAGCTCCATAGCCTTTTTCATTGGTATTTTATATACTATATAATAAAATATATTATATATGGTATTATATGTAAAGCTAATGCTAAGATTTTGTAATTAATCTTTGAAGCAAAAGAATCTTAAACCATACCAAGGCTGCCTGACTCATATCTCAGAAAGAGCTTTGAAAGACTGAAGAAGGCAAGATAGGAAGCTTTGTTTGTTTGTATTTCAGTTATTTAATAAGAGTGAGGTCCAGTCCGTGAATGCTAAATTTCAATGATCTCTATCATTGCACTCTACCTTCCCTGTCAGGAAAACTAGACTGGACATGATTCTCCTCAAAGCCTATCATTATTTTCTTAATATCAGAAGCTTCAACAGAGTAATAAGGCTAATGGTTTTTCCCACTGCACCCTCTATCAGTCCCCAGCCCTGTCAACTAAGGACCACCAAAACCAGACTTGGATTATAGTGTTCCTGCTGTAGCACTGGACATCTTTTCCCTTTAACTATTTGACTGTCCTTGTTTTTTCCCTATTGTTTCCATACATTCTCATTTAACAACAGGGCCTGGGAATAGGCACCTGACTCAAAACATTAAAGCAGCTGACCTCTGAAAACTAAATGGGTGCATCTACATGTTCATTAATGCACCGTAAATACAGCGAATTAATTTTAGTACCTGTAATAACAGGTACTAACTTAACGCGCTGTATTTAACACTATTGTGCAGTAGTGCTGGTGCATGCTTTTTTGTGATGTTAATGAGCAGTAGACTAATTCTACTATGCATTAGCACGGTTTTTGTCTGCTTTGCTAATGCACATAAAATTAGTCTACTGCACATTTAGTGTCTCATGTAGATGCACCCACTGAGTGCATAATAAATTATTTAAAATGGAAGCTTTGTGAAAGTTTAGTATGATAATGAAATTGCTAATGTAATGAGACACAAAAACACACAAGTTTTCAGCTGTTTTATCTGAAGCCTTGGTAGGTGTTTCAAGATTTGGGTATGGTTCATCCTACCACCCAAACTTCATCTGGGACATATGAAGCACAGTTATAAGCAACAACAAAAATTAGAAAAGTGCATCTCAGGTTTTGATTAATAAAAGCTCTAATAACTTATCTTTTCCCTTGTGCAGTTTTCACAATTAGACAGAACTGACTAAGCACAAGGCAATTAAAGCTGCATTTTCTTATTGCTGCTTTATTCATATATATTCTAAGGAAACATAAATATTGCACATGCATCCTTTATTCTTTGGCCAATACTTTAACACTAATACAGATACAGAGGTGTTTAAAAACCTTAGCTCTACTGTCAGTATAAATAGGATTACATTAAACAAGTTTAAAATGCCCAGCAAAGACCTATTTAAAATGAGCCAATATATTAAAAGAACAGCTTACTTACCATTACAGCTATCACTAAAATCAAAAGGAAATAATTAAAACAAAAGAATCCTCCGTTATTGTAAAAGATCCAGCGGCTATAGTGGCTGAAGGATGCTCACCAGCGGGACATGCTTGTCATTGAAACAGAGCATGAGATTAGGAAGAGGATTTCCTAGTGAATCACTGAGAAAATTAGGTCATCTTTCTTACAGCTGCTCTCCTAGAATCCCTGAGCCATTCAGACCTGGAATCTTGTGACCTCCCAGTGCTTTTGTTTCTCATACAATTCCCTTTAAAGCACGCAATGTGATTCCCAGAGATGAGGAGAGCACCAAACTAGGTATGTTTTGATTAGTTTCCAGCAATGAAAACTGCAGAGATTCCAAATAAGAGAAAAAAAACTTACTCCCCAGTACCAATGTCTTACAGAGGCTTCCTGTTTACACAGAGCCAAACTTTCCATTGAGCCTGAACATCTAAATAATTACTTTATTTTGAACACTTTGGCCGCTAGATGTTTTACAGTGTGTCAAGGTAAAAAAACATAACTAAAGTGATGTAAACAATGGAATAACTAATTTCCCATAAATTCACAATGAGAGTAAAGGAAAAGATTCTTTTAACACAGTTGAAGAGATTCAAAGTGCAGTGTGCGCTAAGCACTACCACTGGAGACTGAAACAGAGAACCCAGCTGGCAGCTGAGGCACATTTTCACATACTTGTCACCCACTTCTTACTCTCTTAATTCTTCCTTTGAAAAGTGCTCCTGCTTGCAAGCTACATCTACCAGCAGATGGAGATCTAGGAAGAAGAGGATGTATTTATTTAATATAGCTCCCCCTTCTCACTTGCTTCTTACCTACCTCCATTCATAGCAATGGTTTCAAGTCTTTTCTACTTTTTGGTTGCTGATGTGAAATGCAGCCAAGCATACTACTTCAGGAGTTTGATGGCCACTGCTCAGAAATACTGATTATTCAAAGTTAGCATCTTTTCAGACATAAAAAACATTATCCTTAAATGCAAAAGATGAAGATTTTTGTGGGTGATATTTTTACTGTACCAACTGCATGGTTGGGAAAGATTTAGACACGCTTCCAGATACAGGTCACCCCTTCTTCAGGTTCTTAGACCTAAAGAAGGGTGCCTTATACTCAAAAGCTTGTCTAAATCTCTCCTAACCATGCAGTAGGTCTACTAAAAAAATATCACCCACAAAAATCCTTGCTTTTCATATATTCCCTGGAGCATTATGGCTACAGCATCACTCTTAAAACTGCCATAGCATTTCTCATGGGGGGTGGGGGAGGAAGTGACACAAGGGGGGGCCTGCCACTTGTCACCCCCCCACAAACTGTACCACCCCAGTCTCAGGAGGCACCAGTCACCCATGGTATCTCTAAATGCTATTTCTCTCTCACACATCAATCTGCACTGAGGTAAAGCAATACTTCACAACTGACTGGAATGCAGCAGAACTTATTAATTAACAGAATTTAATCCTTTAAAAAATGTGCTCCCTGGTCTCTTCCTACAATCCAGCCCTCATACAAACAGTGGGCAATGGGATAGCAGAATGTGCATTATTCAAACCAGCAATTAAGTGTCCTGAAATGAAACTAATTTTGGGAAAATGGACCAATGCTCCTCTCTGGAACACATCGTTCCAGAGTACAGACACTCTATCTTCATCTGCAGGGCTAGATTAAACCAAACAGATGCCTAGCACCCCAGGTCCTGAAGTCATTTGATTACATCAGAAATTCACACTTCATTGATGTAATTTCTAGACTGGGGAGAAAATCTTATAGATGTGACCTAAGTATAATGTTAGTGAAGTCTGTAAACAACCTGAAATGATCTCTAAAAATATGAACTATCCCCATGTAGCTCAATGTGGTAACCACTCCAAAGTCATTGCTCTGGAAAGTTTCTCAACACTGCCTCAGCAAATGCCTCTGTAAAGCATGGAGTGAACAGCTGATCATGTATCCCAGTTACTGGGACAAACACTGGGGACCACTCTGCTCACTTCCAAGCAGTGCAGACAGAGTATTCGGAAACAAGTTTTTTTCTCTAGTTGCTACTAAGGGAAAGGGAATCCCTTTGTTATCTGCGAGGGACAAAAGGAAACAACAACTATTTACCAGACAGCAGGGATGTCAAACATAAGGCCTGCAGGCTAGATCCAGCCTGTGGAATCATATGATCTGGTCTGTGGGTTGCTGGACAGACCCAACATGCCAATTCTGGCCCTGTGTGCCACATGTGGTATGTGGGCTAGATCTGGCTGTGTGCCTTGCACGTAGCATAGGGGTGAGTCTGGAGGACACAGTACATGTAATGCCCTGCTGGACCAGATCTGAGAGCTAGTTCCAGGGCTGATCCAAATCAAGTGGTGCTGGAACTAGCACAAAGGGCAGCCTGCCACGTGCAGAGTGCATCCCAGATCAACCCTCTGTGCTGCATGCCCAGGAAGTCAATCCCAGCCTGGCCCTCGAACCAACCCAGCAACCCTCACTTAGGGGCTGGATGAGTTTGACACCTCTGCCATACAGTAACTCACTGGATCTTTAAGTTTGATGTCCACATGGATCCACTTTAAATCTGTGCAAATCACAAATATGCAAGGTCAGATTTATTTTTAACAGAAGTTTCTGTTACGGCCATGCCTGCAGTTCTCATACCTCTCAGTCTATCACGGATGTCAAAGGACAGAACAGCTACAAGCGCCATTACGTTCCTTCATCAAACAGAATCTCAAAGATTCAAGACCACTTCATGCAATAATATGGGATAGAACTTAAGGGTGACCTTATCCCGATGAAAAGCAGTGAATGAAGGGCCCTGCAATAATGTCCTGTATTTTGCTGCTACTTCTTGCTGTGGTAATAGCCACTACAAATGCCATCTTTATGGACAGATGTTTATGGCTGCCAATATACATGCTCAGAGGTGTTGGGAGATAGGGGGTGGTGTTTTAATTAGAGCAGTTCCCAGGCATCTGCTCTAATTAAAACACCACAGCATCGTGTGTATTAAGCCCTGCACATTTAAAAATGGCCACAGGACATTTTATCTAAACCTCATTTGATGAGGTTAAGTTAAAGTACCCCACAGCCATTTTTAAATGCATGGGAGCTTAATACACATGACACTGAAGTGACGCTGCAGCATTCTAATTAGAACACAGAACAGACTCGATTAATCTGCTTGATTAATCAAGCATTCTAATTAGAATGCCAATGATCATGTGTACAGACAACTACAGCTTTATGGATGGATTGTACAAAATGTGGAAAAAGCCCATAAGGAAATTTGACTTTGCAGAGAGTATGAAAACAACATGCCCATGAACCACTGGCTGATACATAGGGATGATCATCAGATGGAACTAAGAAAAACCCCAATCTCCTTAGGGAACAGATAGCAGAAATATATGTTGCAAAGTTGCCTATACTAGGTGATTCTTAACCTTTTTAGACCCAAGGCATCCCTCAGAAAGCGCTGGTTCTTAGCTTTCACTCATTTCTTGACTATGGAAAAAATAATAAATCACAGAACTTGTTGCACAGAACTCAGAAAGACTGCAACAACTCAGAAATTTTTTGACACTATGGATTCCTATTGAAACTTTCTGGGTTGATCTTATGAATCATGTCTACCTATCATGGCACCCTGGTTAAGAATCACGGCTGTAGAGAATCTCTTCTACTTTTTCACATAAGTCAGTCTAACAGAGGTCCTTCTACTTTGCAGAAGAATAACAGCTCAGTATTTTCTCTTTTGAGAGGTTCTCTAACCAGTGTCCTATCTGCCAGGTGGAATGAGGCCAGGTTGGGATGTGACATTTGGCCTTGGTTCTAGGAAACTTTATTGACAAAAGCCAGATGTGTAACCAAGAGATTTACCAGTTCTAAGTACCAAAAATACCTGGCCCAAGGCTCATGCTACAGTGTGACCCATCAGCTGGGGCACATAAGCAGTGGTATTTGGAAATGTGCAAAGGGCTAGAGGATGAAGTTTATTACAGTCTGGAAACACTACAATGGTAGGTAATCTGGAGCCTAACAACACTCCCATTAATTCTATAGACTGAGTCAAGGTGAGTGGTCTCAGTTGATCCTTAGGCCCAGGGTAACAAAGAGATGGAGTTTGAATTGAGTCAATGACTTGCTATGAAGTTATTTTCCATAACTTTATCCAAAGTCACTTAAAGTACAGCAATTGGGACAATCATACCCAATGTATCACAGGTTAGATAGCTAAAAACCCAACACCACTTTGCAAATGTTAGCTTTAGTATCTACCCTTAAGTTACTTGTGAGGAAACCTGTATTGTGACCTCACAAGTTTAGAAGGCCTATTCAAGATGAAGCCATGTGTGTGAGGGAGTGAGTGTGGCACTGTCATTCTGCAATGGGTTTCCGAGTTGCTTAAATTATTGTAAAAAACTCACGTTAGAGCCGGTAACTTTCCAGATTTTCTCTTCCTTCAAGAATGAATATTTGGAAATTTTGAGAATGAACACTCCAGTCATATGCAGCGAGTGAAACAGACACAATTTTGCCATATAAGGCAAGTCTTTTAAACAGCTCTAGTTAGAGCAGTGGTGCTCAACCTTTTTGGCTGCTCGGTAAGATGGGCAGTGTCTGATCTGTCCACGTGCTGGATCTGACTACTGGTCAAATACTGACACCCAGGGCAGTCATGCTAGGACCCCAACCTGGCTCTGTTGAGGGAAAGGGACTGGATGCAGCCCCAGCCTGGTCTCATGAGAGGGAAGGGAGGGGTGTGGTTGGCCCTGAACCAGTCACAGGGGAAGAGGTTGTGGCCTGGCCCTGATCCAATGCGGGGGTTGTTCCATTCCAATCTGGCCGTGTGGGAGGAAGGGGACATGGCCTGGCCCTGACCCACCACACAGGGCTTGGGGTCTGGGAATTCAGTAGCAGGGAAGGGTGGCTGCCTTAAATGCCACCACTCCGCCACTGCCAAATTATCTGACCTGTGGGAAGCCCAATGGGCTGGATACCCTGGCTCCACTGGCTGCATTTGGCCTGTGGGCTGGAGGCTGAGCACCCCTGCTTCAGAGTAGCTTGGGTTATAAACCTGACACTTGGCAGAGACAATAAATTAGACGTACTTTTCAGTGGTTGATGCATTTCATTTTGGATGATTTAAGTCACTAATTAAAAGAGGTACTTCCCACAAGTGCTGATTTTCCTGTATATACAATACAGGTTTTTAAGATAATCTTATAGTCCTATCAGTAACTGGTCATGCACAAGTTGCTTTCAATTTTAAAAAAATGTCATTTAATACAAGGCATGACACACATCCTGGCTGATTCTAAATAAGCATAAATACACATTCATGAGTAATGATACATGAATATGCATACATGTGCAATGAGGCAGTGGGTCATGGGCACCTTGCTTCCTACAATATACAAGACTGAAAATACAGCTTAACCAAAATATGGTCCAGATATTGAAGACCTCTTCCTCATGCAGTACTTTATTCCTGCCTTGCCCATTGTGTAACATTCAACCTGTAAGCTATATGTGGCAGAAGTCAGGCAGAGTAGATCAATTATGAGCATGTAGTTACAGACTTCTGTATTGAATGCAAAAGGACAAAGTTAAGATTGTATGAGTGACATCGGGCATTGCCTGAATCTCGAGTTTTATAAAAACGTACTGTAAATAACAAAATAGTACCAACCCCAGAATGTCCCTTTTTAAGAAGCAAAAAACACAAAAAATATATAAATGAATACATCTCGTGGAGATATTTGCTATGTATCAAAAATATGATGCTTCTTGTAGCTGGTATATGCTATGTGACTATAGTCAATTACTATTAGCCTCAAAAAACCAGAAAATATCACTATATAATCTTAATGTCACTCTATACGTGACATTACAACTCAGTCCTTAATTATATGGTCATATGGAAATAAAACATAACTATTTTAGGACAGTATTTGCTAAACTTATGAAAGACTAATATGTAGTGCCAATAATGGCAGTGAATTGTACACAATAATAAAAGGGAAGTCTCTTTCTTTCCTTTGTTCCTGCTGTGTTTTGCATAGGGTTTTAGTGATTTTTTTTAAAGATTTCTTTCAAAAGATATTCTTAATTTCTTTTTTGTTACTGTGTATAGGAATTTAGGAGAATATCACTATACTAATAGATTACAAATGATGAAGAAGCTTGTCAAAACAGGTTGGTCCACCATTTGTCCTAAAGATAGACTTTGGAATCACCTGATCTCCCCTGAAAATCTGTTCCACAGCTGGAGGCTCTCTTATTAAGAATGCTTTGTGCTCAGTTCTCATATGTTTCATTCTGGGCTTTTTAATCTGTACTAACCAATAGGAATGCAGAAAATGTAGTCTTTGATATAAACTGGAGGCTCAATCAATAAATTGCTTTGAAAATTAAAACCAACGGCTTAAATTGGCATCAGAAACTGTGTGGGAGCCACTGCAGGCACTTGAAATCAAACCTACTGTGCTTGTAAAAGCCTAAGTCAAGTACGGGTAAGGCACTCAAGCAGCTGCCTTCTATACCAGCTATGGCCTGTGTATCTTCATCTTCAGCTTCAGTTACTTTAATCTGTGCTAGCTGGCAGAAATACCCAAGTCATCTGCCAGGTAAGGATACCCAAAGTACAGTGTGCTCTTGGCACAGCTCTTCCATAATCTCCAACTCATGGGCTGTGGGGGAAAAACTTGCTCTTGGAATTCAAGTAATTTAGCTGAGGACAGCAAAAGCTGCAAATGGTTCTCCCTAAGAAAAAAATCAAGGCTGATCTGAAGGAAAAAAGACTACCTAAATGGAAATTTTTAAATATTTTTAATTGCTGACTACTTCCTGTCAGGAAATCACAAAGAATGACTTCCCAGTGCAGGTAAGTAGATCTGAGATTGTAGAAATTCCTCAATGGCTGGTATGCTGTTTATTCACATTCAGATACAGCACATATGCTTTCCAGCTATAGAAACTATAAAAACTCATGTTCTGTTTGTTACATTATTTTTCTAGGGGTTTGAATAAATATATATGTTCCACTATTCTAACTGGAGGTGTTATTTTAAAATGATTTAGTTAAACCAATACTAGATGTTTTTGTAGACACTTGCAATTGTTTTAAAATTAGTGGTTATATCAGTATAAGTCAGGTTTATACATCTACATTTGCGTGCATATCAGATAAATGCATAATTCACTGAACTGTACAAAACAATACCTATCCCAACTTTTTGCCTATTGCTTACATTATTAACAAACTTTAGTTAACTTCCTATTGGTCCAATGCATAAACTGGTTAAGTGCATAGGTTTGCTGGGTTACATAAGCATTCTTTAGTTCCACTGCTACTTTATAACTGGTCTCTGTTTAACTGCTTAATTGACAAAACTGTTTAGGTCCTGTCTGTTTCAAGACTACTGGTTTTCCTTACAAGCTGAACAGATAGAAGACAAGTTAAAGGGAGGAAGTATTCAAACACAATCTTCCTCTGATCTGACTAGGTCAATTTAAAACAAAACAGAACAAAACAAAACAAAAGATGGATCACACAGTATCCTTTATGGTAAGGGTTGCCAAAATATGGAATGGGCTTCCAAGGGAGGTGGCGTTTTCCCCTACCTTGGAGGTGTTGAAGAAGAGATTAGACAGGCATCTGGCTGGGGTTACTTAACCCCAGCCCTCTTTCCTGCCTGCAGCAGTGGTGTCAGACCCAATGATCTACCAGGTCCCTTCTGACCCTAGAAATCTATCTATGATTCTAAGTATTAAACTGGTGAAACTTTGGATGCACCAGGCCTAAAAGGATATACTGGTTTATATATACCAGGCCTAAAAGAATATACTGGTAACATTGATCACACCTTGGTGACCATCCCACTTTCCCAGCAACTAGTTTCCAAACACAAATAGTAGTCCTTTCTTTCTTTAAAAAAAAAATCCAGGTGTTTAGCCTTACAATATTCCATATCAGATAAGCATTTTTCTACCCATAGGGAAACGCAAGCACAGAAATTAATTTCCCAGTGATAACAGGTAGGATACCAATGAGCTTCAAAACGAAGCCAGAATTTGGTATTGTACTTTAACCAGAACCTCTCCTCTGAAAACAATCTCTATCAGGAAACCCAAGAGTGGGTATCACTTTGCTGGCAAGAGGCAGGCTGACATTCCTCATTACTCAGATAAGTTTTGTCATAAAGAGTAGGGATTTAACGTATATAGCATAAACTGTCACAATCTACTAGAAACTAATCCCCCCACTCCCACTTGTCCTTCACTGCTGGCCTTGGAACCTTCCAATTAAAGTGTTGCTTCTTGACCAGCATGAGATGAAGCCTCCTGCAGGAACTGCATGTTCCTAGTGACCATCCTGGCTGTTCCCCAGAACCACTCCAAAGCACACCATGAATCTTTTCTGTGCTAAAGCCTTTTACTTAAATTTACATTTCTTTTAAGTTATTACATTTTGCAAGAAGTTTGACCACAGATGCTTTGCTGCCTATTTTTTCTAATTAATTTCAGCAATTACTTTGGCAGTTTGACAACCAAGCCCTTGTCTTGGTATTTTAGTAACCACTTCAGCCAGAGCCTGTTTTTATTAACTCAGTGCTCATCTCAACAATTGAATGCCTGTCTTGGAGCACTGGCATCTGTCTCTTCTGCTCAGCACTTTGACATCCAAGCTCTTGGACCAAGAGGGCCAAGTTAAAAACTTGGCTTACTGGTATAGTTCCTTCTCATACAGGAATAAGCAATACAGGGACAAGCACTTCTGTCTTAGTATGGTTGTTACTAGGGCTGTGCGAAGCTTCGGTCCCTGATTCAATTGGGCAGAGATTCGGAGATTTGGTGGCCAAATCTCTGAATCCAAATCGAATCAGAGGACCCTTTAATCCCTCCAAATCGATTCAGAACCCTGAATCGATTCAGAGAGATTCGGGGATTTGGACGTAGATACAGCTTTAAATGATTTTTCTACATACCTCTAGGCAGCAGGGGCTCTGAATGCTGCAGTGCTGGGGCAGATGCAGCATCCCACAGAAGGATGGGGGGCTCCCCAGCACGCTTGCCAGCAGACCCGGAAGTGGACCAGAAGAACTTCCGGTCCGCTTGCTGGTCCACTGTGGAGCATGTGCCCTTTGGGGCTGTCGCCCCCCCCCCCCCCCCCCCCCCCAGCTTGGTGACTGGTGCCTCCTGGGTCTGGGGTGGGGGCACCCGGGGTCCCCCTGCGGCTGATCACTGAGCTGGGGAAGGTATGGGGGGCCCTCAGCGCGCTCCCTGGCAGACCCAGAAGTGGACCAGAAGTACTTCCAGTCTACTTCTGGGTTCACTGCTGAGCACACTGGAGAGCTCCCCATGCTCCTGTGGGATGCTCCATGAGCCCCAGTACCACAGTGATCATGAGCCGTGCCTGCTATTTCAAGGTACGTAGAAAAAACTTTTAAAGCTGTGCCTGTGTCCAAATCACTGATTCGCCAAATCAGGGACAGTGATCTGAACCAACGGATCGAATCACTGTCCTTGATTTGGGCTGAATGCAAATTGAATAGGGCCCATTTCGCACAGCTCTAGTTGTTACTACATTGCCAGTATAATTATTTCCATTCCACTGTCTTAACTATACAGCTTCAAAACTTAGGACTAACTCTTACCAGGGGACTTGCCCTTCTGTGAACTGCTTCTTCTTTCTCTGCATTTGGCTTGCATGGATGAAACTGTGTCTTTGGCAGATTTGCTCACTGGCCCCACCTCTGAAATAAGGAATCCTATTTGTTCTGAAGAGACAACCGTCTCTGATGTATTGGTTTGACATTTAATACTTGAATCCACCTAAAAAAAAAGTTAAATCCCACTCAATACTTCAACCACTTTAGGAGATTTAATGTAGATTACTATCTTTCCCACATGGGAGGTTTATTTGAATGGACATTCAACTAACATAGAACACTCCATGGTCCTGGATGGCATAAAAAGGAAGTTTGTCCAGTTCCATTTTGTGCCTTCCAAATGACAAGCTCAAATAAACTCAATTGCCTGAAGTTCCAAAATATACAGAGTTAAAGTACACATCTGTTTAATCTTTGCCTTGTCCCCAGAGAGCTGCCAACAGCTAAAATAAATTATCTGCAAGCACTCCAGCTGTATTCACTGTGCTGGGGAAAGTGGGCTATATTGGATAGCAAAGGGATCAGTTGAAATGCCATTTGCTTGACAGAGCTTCAATTATTATATAATGCTACCTGGATGGGCCATATGTCTATGGAGTGACAGGGAAGATAAGCCTGTATGCCTTATCGCCATGTGTGTGACCTCTGTGGCAGGCCAGTAGGGGGAGCTCCTGCGTTGAGCCTCCCACCTCACCACGCCTGTCCACCTTCCGGACTCCACGTGTCTCTCCAGGGGCGCCTATGCCCTGGCCGACCCCCTTTCGAGCCCCACTGCAGAGTCCGGGAGGGGGTGGACGGGGTGGTGAGGTGGGAGGCTCAATGCAGGAGCTCCCCCTACTGGCCTGCCACAACCTCTACATGTGGGATTAAAAGTAACATGTACCTCAAGAGATCTAGTAAGCTTCATTTCAGTAATGAACTATGTAGGTTATGTCAGTAGCAGGTCACAAATGTCTTCAAACCATGGGGAATGTAAACGGTTGGGTAGGAGGTAAATGTGGGTTTTGAGTTTAATGGTGAATAAATGAAGGGGCTATGATATGAGTGAAAGGGTTGTAAAATTTTCTAAATGTAGTGTTTTTTATGGAGTACACTAAGAATTTGATTGTTAACCAGTTATATATATGTAGCCCCAGTTTAGTACAGCTCAAAGGGAGAGTAAGAGTAGCTATATTACCACTCAAAAATGGCACTGTAATGTTTGAGTGGTTGTGCGTGTGTGTGGATTCAGAAGTGTGTGTCCATGTCCTGTAGTGTGGCAAGGACTAGTACCCAGAAGTGTGTGCCGATGCGTTGGATTCAGAAGCATCTGGGCGTTGGTCTGTTTCATGCCCAGAGCTACGCAATAATCTGGGGACTCCACGGGGGTTGCGAGAACTCAGATCTTTGTTAGAAGAGCCCTGTGCTCTGTGCTGCTGCTGTTTGCAGCTGTGGCACTGCGTGTGCTCAGGGCCGTAGCAAGAGGCAAAGATTTCTTAGGGTGAAATCTTTTATTGGGCTAACGGTATAGTTGGGATGAAGTGAGATGAGTTTTCCAGTGTAAAACATCCCCCCCTCAGGTCTCTGATTATAGGAAGCTGGGCACAGCATAGGGGAGGGGGTGAGAGAAATCCCCAGGTGTAGCAGGTGCACAATTAGCAAAATAAACTAAGCTAAATACTGGGAGATCAGGGCCTATCAAAAGCGGGGATGGGGAGGGTCAGTCTCACCTTCCTCCTGTGGAAAGAATTCAGGAGTTGGATAAATTATATTGGGCCATGTGAAATTTTCCCTGCACATGGAGCCTCCTCACTCATCCCCACTACAACTTGTGCTTCAACCTGTGGGAACCTGCAGGTCGTTACAGTCTCTGCTGAGATGCAGATCACACAACACCCATGCACATATTGCCCGCCGCTTATAAATTTATCAGGGGAGGACCGCCTATAAATTTATCAGGGGAGGACAGCAGGGAATTGGGGATGCGCTGTTTACCAGAGCACCCCAGGGAGTAACCAGGAATAATGGGTGCAAACTAGTGGAGAGTAGGTTAGACATTAGGAAGAAACTTTTTACAATAAGGGTGGCCAGAGTCTGGAATGGGCTTCCAAGAGAGGTGGTGCTATCACCTAACTTGGAGGTCTTCAAGAGGAGGCTTGACAATCACCTGGCTGGGGTCGTCTGACCTTGGTCCTCTTTCCTGCCACAGGCTGGGGGTCAGACATGATGATCCATTGGGTCCCGACTCTATAATCTATGAATCTATGAAACTCTGTACTTCCTCATTTTACAGATTTTGAATTTTACTTAACCTGAAATCCTGGAAGAGCATAGCTATCACTGAACATCCTTAACTCTGGTAGGTAAGAATTCTGTCAATGATTTTCTTAAGGTTTTTTAAATTATATATTTTTTCTTACTAGAGTTAATCATTTGCAGATTTGTATACCACCTAGTTTTGCAAATGAGATTCCTGTGGCATAATGCTTATGATATATATATGCTTATGTATACTACAAGATACTATGCAATTCCTAAATGCTGCTCCCCTGCCTGTACAGTGTTGCAGTGGAATGGTGATTAGGATCATACCGTGAAATCTCTGGATTGTGCATTTGTTAGAGCCAAAGAACTCACTAGCAGATTTCAGTCTCAAAATGCTGGGAATGTTATTATGTGTAGTTAAAGCAACTCTAAGCATGTGCGAGAAGACTGCTTTAGTATTTTTCCTCTCCAGACTTCTACCTTCCCCCACAACATACAAATCACTTCCCTTCAGTTTCTATCCTACCTTTTCTATCCAATCCCCTTAAGCCAGTAGCATGTAAAAAGGTTGCTTCTTGCTGTCAGTGTCTTCAGTTGCTGCATATATATCTCATAAGCAACAGTTTACTGAAAGATCACATGCCTCCTTGATTATAAAACCTAAGCTGTATCCTTAACAAGACCCTCTTCTCCCACTATACTCTTAAGCCAACTAGGCTTCTTGTCCTTTCTTCTTCCCGGCCCAATTAATCAGCACCTCTTTCATGTGAGGCCCCTCTATCCGCAGTCGATTCCTCCACCACATATAGGTACCTTAACTTTGTGTTGCCTGATTGTCAGAGGTGTAAATTTAGGCCCCCAAATCCCAGTTCACATTGGGAGTAGGGAGATGAGTTCAGACCATACCAGGAGAGGGCTTATTCTCTCCAGATCCTGAACATTCAGAGAGTCCCTGCAGGTTGGAACAGGAGTTGTAGGAGGGGTAATTTGGAGAGTGACATCAATAAGCTTCCAGGAAGCTCCATGTTCTAAGGGAAGTAGGCAGTAATACTGAGTACAATGCACCACATGGCTGCAAAACAGCAGCACTGAATATAGTGCACTGAAATAAGGATCCAGTTTCTACAATCCAAGTGGACTACCTTTTATATTGCATAGAGTTTTGTGCACGAAACAGCAGAGAGAAGGGCTGGGATCCACTCATAATGGCATAGCCTCTCACAGATCATGACTTCCACATGGAAGTAAACAGGGACAGGGGCTGAGACAGAACCAGAGGGGCAGAGAGCCCTTGATCCTGAGCGTTCGGTGCATATCTATTTATACAGTTTAAATCTTTGTCGAATTACTGTGTTTAATTTGACTTTCCCAAAAGGCTAGTAGGCACCTGACACTCAATGAAGTAAATGTGAAAAAACTATGACTCCTTTTCTGATCCTGGGTTTGGTTCCTTAGTAGGAATATAAAACATAGAAAGAGCTCACTGAATCTGGCTGCATCTACATGAGATGCTGACTGTGCAGTTAGCTCTTTACTATTGTGCAGCAGAGTCACATAGCACGAAGCATGTTGCGACACTACTGCACAATAGTAATGAGCTACTGCACAATCGGTGTCACCTAAAAGCCATTTGATGATGCTACTGCGGAGTAACTCGTTACTCGCAGTCATTTAGTACTTGTTTATACAAGTACTAAATGACTGCACAATAACAACTGTGCAGTCAGTGTCTTGTGTAGATGCAGCCTCGGTCAATCTTAAAAATGCTGGTTTTGGGAGGACTGTCTTGAAACTCCTGGCTCAAATAACCCCATATTTGGATACTCCCCTCTCCCCTGAATCAAGTCTCAAAGAAATCTAAGAAAGAATGAGGATTTTACGGCAGTTAGGCGAGTTGACCTTTACACTTGAAAAACATTCTCAGAGCCATGTGAAGTGGCCATTCATCTCAGTACGATCATCTCAGCTGAGTGAGAATTTCCCATGTATTAATGAAGCCTCAAACAGCAGCTCTCAGGTACGCCAGTAAACTGCTACATTAATTGCTGTAGTTCCTCCCATCTCTCTTCCCTAGTGCCAGTGCTAAAGGCTCTATGATATGCCTCAAACATGGCTATTCTCACTTTCTCAGCACTGCATGACTGGCAAAATTATTTTACCATGCCTGCTCTCCATTCCTCACAGATGAGCAGAGCTTTTCTGGAGGCTAGCTCACACTGGGTACAGGGAGAAAGCCCAGCCCTACCACAATTATAAAAATGTCTCTATGTGCCAAGAAGAGTTTAGCACCCCACAGAATGACAAGGTTCTTTAGATCCTAGTTCAGATTTTACTCAGCTTCTACTTTCCCAAAATAAAAATCTTTGATTGAGACGAATTTGTAGTAAGATACCTACCCACTCTTTCTGGCCAACTTCAGATTTGAACTAATAACTGGTTCAACGGCTGCAACATAGCCTCCTTGAGCTGCCCAGATTATATATAAACTGACAGGGTGGAAAATATTTTGGCTACTGCCTATGTGGAGATCCCAGTTCTATTTGAAATATAATTTTTAACATGTTTGCTCCTGAAAGGGATAGTTGGTGCCATGCACTAGACTAGGTAAGTATCAAGCAACTGAAATAATTCTGAGCATTATAGGCACGTCCAGGCGAGCATGCATGTGCAGTTTGCGGCATGGCAGACTGGTCTGTCATGCTGCAAACCACACACACCAGTATTCACCACTGCTAATTTGCAGCACAGTGGGACTTTTGACTCTGGGATCCCCCAGTGTCAAAATTCCAGTGCCAGAAAAGGCACAGTGGCACATGTGGGCAGCAGACTGTGCTGTCTGAGACTGGAGCGTGGCCAGTCAGAGCCACACTCTGGCTGCTGGCCAAGATCTACATGCCCAGATTACTGCTGCTGGAGCCCTGGAAGGCCCCCAGGACCCCAGGTAAGGGTTCTGGGGCCAACCCAGGTGCTAGCCCCAGCCTCCCCAGCAGTGGCGTATGTATGTATCACTGCTAGTTGTGCCCAGGGAACTCATGTTTCCGTCTTATAAGAGCACTGCTTTGATCCGGTGTGCATAAAAAAAACTGCAATAAAATGTATTAACCTTAAAAAAGGCTGTCGTTTTGAGGGACTGGTTTTAATGACCGTAAGTTCTGAACACTAAAACCTTTTTTTTAAACGCCTTATTCATGGAAATTTAGGGTTGAAAGGGACCTTAGGAGGTCATCTAATTCTATCCCCTGCTCAGAGCAGGACCATCCCCAATTAGATTATCCCAGCCAAAGCTTTGTCTAGCCTGGTTTTGCAAACCTCCTAGGATGGAACTTCCACCACCTGTCTGGGTAACCTGTTCCAGTGTATTACTACCCTGCAAGTGAGAAAATTCTTCCTGTCTAACCTAAACTTCCCTTGCTGCAACCTGAGACCATTGCTTCTTGTTCTGTCATCTGCTACCACTGAGAACAGTCTAGCTCCTTCATCTTTTGAACCCCAGCCCCCTCCACGTAGTTGACAGATGCTTTTAAGTCTCCTTATCTAGACTCAAAGCAGCCCAGTTCCTTCAGTCTTTCCAAGTAAGTCATGTCCCCTAGCCCCCTCACCATTTTGTTGCCCTCCACTGGACTCTCTCTAATTTGTCCACATCCTTTCTGCAGTGGGGTGCCCAAAACTGAACACAGTACTCGAGCTGTGACCTCACCAGTGCTGAATAGAGAGGAATAATCACTTCCCTTGACCTACTGGAAACGCAACTACCAATACAGCCCAGTAGCCTTCTTGGCAACAAGGGCACACTGTTTGCTCATATTCAGCTTATTGTCCACTGTAACCCCCAGGTTCTTTTCTGCAGAACTGCTGCCTAGCCAGTCCACCCCCCAGCCTGTACTGGTGGATGGGACTGTTCTGTCCTAAGTGCAGGACTTTGCACTTGTTCCTGTAGAACCTCATGAGATTTCTTTTGGCCCAATCCTCCAATTTGTCTAAATCACTCTGAATCCTAGCCCTACCCTTCAGCCTATCTACTACTCCCTCCAGCATGGTATCATCTGCAAACTTGCTGAGGGTTCACTCCATGCCATCTTCTAAGTCATCGATGAAGACATTGAACAAAACCGGCCCCAGGACCAACCCCTGGGGCACTCTACTTGATAATGGCTGCCAACTAGATGTTGAGCCATTGATTACTTCTCTCTGAGCCCGATGCTCCAGCCAGTTTTCTATCCACCTTACTGTCCATTCATTCAGCCTGTATTTCCTTAGCTTGTCTGCGAGAATGTTGTGGGAGACCATATCAAAAGCCTTGCTAAAATCAAGGTACACCACACCCACCAGTCTTCCTGCATCCACAGAGCCAGTCATCTCAACATAGAAGGCAATCAGGTTGGTCAGGCATGACTTGTCCCTGATGAATCCATGCTGACTGTTCCTAATCACCTTCTTCTTCTCCAGATGCTTAGAAATAGATTCCTTGAGGATCTGCTCCAGATTTTTCCAGGGACTGAGGTGAGGCTAACTGGTCTGTAGTTCCATGGATCCTCCTTTTTCCCTTTCTTAAATATAGGCACTATGTTTGCCCTTTTCCAATCATCTGGGACCTCTCCTGATCACCATGAGTATTCAACGATGGCCAATGGCTCTGCAATCACATCAGCCAACTCCCTCAGCACCCTCGGGTGCACCCCATCCAGCCTCATGGTCTTGTACACATCCAGCTTTTCTAAGCAGTCCCAAACCTGTTCTTTCACCACTGAGGGCTGTTCACCTCCTCCCAAAACTGTCCTGCCCAGTGCAGTAGTCAGGGAGCTGACCTTGCCTGTGAAGACTGAGGCAAAAAAAGGCATTGAACACTGTGAAAGTGTGTGTGTGTGTGTGTGTAACTTCAGCCTTTTCTGCATCCTCTGTCACAAGGTTGCCTTCCCCCATTCAGTAAGGGACCCACACTTTCCCTGATCCTCCTTTTACTAACAACATACTAGTAGAAACCCTTCTTGTTACCCTTCACATCCCTTGCTAACTGCAACTCCAATTGTGCTTTGGCCTTCCTGACTTTATCCCTGCATGCCCAAGCAATGCTCATATATTCTTCCCTAGTTATTTGTCCATATTTCCACTTCTTACAAGCTTCCTTTTTGTGATTTAGTTTACTGAAGAGTTCCCTGCCAAGCCAAGCTGGTCTTCTGGGATGGTTTGTTCCTGCACTCTCAGTAAGGCTTCTTTGAAGTGTACCAGCTCTCCTGGATTCCTCTCCCCTTCAGACTGGCTTCCCAGGGGATCCTGCCCATGAATTCCCTGAGTGAGTTGAAGTCTGCTTTTCTAAAGTCCAGGGTCCTTACTCTGCTGCTCTTCATCCCTCCTTTCCTCAGGATCCTAAACTCTTATCATCTCATGGTCACTGCTGCCCAAGCTGCCATCCACTTCTACATCCCCCACCAATTATTTCCTGCTTATGAGCAGCAGGTCAAGAAAAGCGCAACCCCTAGTTGGCCACTCCAGCACTTGCACAAAGAAGTTATCCCCAATATTCTCCAAAAATGTCCTAGATTGCCTGCACACTGCTGTATTGCCCTCCCAGCAGATGTCAGGGAGAATGAAGTCCCCCATGAGAACCAGGGCCTGTGATTGGGAAACTTCTGTTAGCTGTTTGAAGAAAGCCTCATCCACCACTTCCTCCTGGTCTGGTGGTCTATAGCAGACCCCCACCATGACATCAGCCTCGTTCCTTTCCCCTGAGACTCTCAACAGCCCTATCTCCAGTTTCATTCTTCCAGTTTGGGACTTGAAGGAGATGGAAGCTCTTAACCTTGACTATACCAGAGCTCTGGTTCTGTTATAGTATAATGCACAACAGTCCGAGTGTTCATAAGGTACAATGCACTTTTGACCAAATATAAATCATAAATAAGGCTAGGATTTGGGCACCCTAATTGTTAGCAAATTACACAACAAAGGGTGGGGTGTACTGGCTGAAGCATTGGGCCCGAGGGTACTAATCAATGGCTTGATGTCTAGTTGGCAGCTGGAATCAAGTGGAGTGCCTCAGGGGTCAGTCCTGGGGCCGTTTTTGTTCAATATTTTCATCAACGACCTGGAAGTTGGCACAGAATGCACCCTCAGCAAGTATGCAGATCACAGCAAGATTCAGGGAGTAGTAGATAGGCTGAAGGGTAGGGCTAGGATTCAGAGTGACCTAGACAAATTGGAGGATTGGGCCAAAAGAAATCTCACAAGGTTCAACAAGGACAAGTGCAAAGTTCTGCACTTAGGGTGGAACAATCCCATCCACCAGCACAAGCTGGGGGCTGACTGGCCAGGCAGTGGCTCTATAGAAAAGAACCTAGGGATTACAGTAGACAATAAGATGAATATGAGCCAACAGTGTGCCCTTGTTGCCAAGGCTAATGGCATATTGGGCTGTATTGGTAGGTGTGCTGCTAGCAGGTCAAGGGAAGTGATTATTCCTCTCTATTCAGCACTGGTGAGGCCAGATCTGGAGTACTGTGTTCAGTTTTGGGGCCCCCACTACAGAAAGGATATGGACAAATTGGAGAGAATCTAGCAGAGGGCAATGTAAATAGTGAAGGGGCTGGGGCACATGACTTATGAGAAAAGGCTGAGGGAACTGGGCTTATTTAGTCTTGAGAACAGAAGACAGAGGGGATTTAATAGCAGCCGTCAACTACCTGAAGGGGGAAGTTGAAAAAGGATGGAGATAGACTGTTCTCAGTGGTGGCAGATGACAGAACAAGGAGCAACAGTCTCAAATTGCAGCAAGGGAAGTTTAGATTGGATATTAGGAAGAATTTTCTCACTAGGAGGGTAGTAAAACACTGGAACAGCTTACCCAGAGCGGTGGTGGATTCTCCCTCCTGGGAGATTTTTAAGACCTGGCTAGACAAAGCCTCGGCTAGGATGATTTAGTTGGAGATGGTCCTGCTTTGACCTCCTTAGGTCCCTTTCAATCCTAATTTTCTATGATTCTAGGGAGGTGGGGGGGACAGCAGGGAGGAGTTACAGTGGCAGCTGTCAGGGAAAGTTTACAAAGCATGCTGGCTGCATGCCTACGGTAAGCAAATAATAATCAGGCCAAGTGCACTTCCCTGTTATGAAACATTGCTACATGGAAGCTAGTTTGGAGGACTAATGTCTTCATCCTTTTTTGTAAGCTAATGTTCTGTGCTGAACTATATTTCCCAAGATTCCCATGCTTTCTCACATAATACAAGGCATATACAATAGGCTAGATCTCAATGGAGTGATGCAGATTTCATTAGCTGAGAATCCACACCTACCAACTTAAATCTATTCAATTCTATTTTCTTAATAGTCTTAACTTATGCAATTAAGAATTTGTAAGCCCTGCTACAGTGTGGTTATCACAGCAAAATATACTGTATAGCAGGGTTGTCAAAGATCTGGCCTGCAGAACCCTATCATCTGGCCTGCAGTGCTGCTAATGGGTCTTGGAGTAAGCCCACATGCTATATGCTGTGTGCTGGATTGGCCCTGCATGCACCTTGCAGGGTGGACATGGGCTGCAGTGTATGGAACCAGGGCTGGCATGCACTACACATGGTGCATGCGGTTGAGGCGGGATGCACCAGACAGGCCTTGCATGCTGAGGTTGGTGTGCAGCCCAATCTGGCCCATGAATTGACCCTGTGCCATCCAGTCAGCCAGCGTAACCTGATGAATTTGACACCCCTGCTGTATGGTGTTCTTTTAGTTCTACACTGCTTACCTGCTGTAGATTGAATGGCAGTGCCTCATGAACAAACACCACTGAAGACTGAGTCGAAGTATGGCTCAGCTGTTCTTTCAGTTTTGCATGTGCTTCCTGTGTGGCTGCAGGTTCCTGCACCATTTGTGTAGCAGCAGTCTCTAGAGACTCAGTGGCATGTATAGTGTAAATAAACTCAGGTGACTGTGGCAGAGAACAGGCCATTGCTTGATCTGTTCCCACCACAAATGACGTAATATCTGAACCTACAGGAGTAAGAGGCTCCAGCTCACTGGCCTGATTTGAGGAAGGTACATCGCTATTTTCAGGAGTAGCTAGCAGCCGTTGGCCTTTGTTAGGCTGTGGCGTTGAACACTGGTTCTCCATAGGTTCCACCTTCACCATCTCCAATTTGGGAGAAGAATGCATCTCATCTACAATCTGAAAGACAGCCTCTAAGTTTACTTCTGTCTTCTTGTTTTCATCAGACATATTGCATGGCCAGTTGGATGGCAAAAATTCAACTGGATATGACGACTGCATTGGAGGATTCTGTGGAAACAAATACAGTGAACTGTAATAAGGATAATATACCCTACACTGTAGAATATTTAAAACTCTTAGTGCCGTTTTTTTTTAGGACTCACAGGCTCCGAGAACCTCAGAGCACAGCAGAGACTTCCCATCTTTTCCTTCTTTAGCTGAGTCATTACTATACTCATGATTCCTTTCTTGTTTTGGCTCCTCAGAGCAATGCTGGCACCAAAGACCAATGGTGGCAATAAAAATAATTATATGCTAATATATAACGGTAGACTTGCAACTGCTCTAAAAATAGCAGCTCTAATTGCACTGAGCATCTCTGTGAATTAACTGCCAGAGCAGCTGTAACAAGAGGAGGTGAAAACAATGAGGCTTTTCCACTATAAGTCTCCCAGTTCCATCTTAGGTTTCCAACCTAGTACAGGAACCTCAGTGTCCCACTCCTCCAACTCCCAGGATGAGAATTTGAAACTACAATGTTCCAGTAGTATAAGAGTAATGTTGTAGCCATGATGGTTCAGAAATTAAGTGAGAGGCAATCATTTCTGAGGGTGATATCTTTTACTGGACCAACTACATAGCTGCGATAGCTAAACAAGCTTTCAGAGCAAGACATTCTTCTTCTCAGAGCATGAGTCCTGAAAAAATGGGCCATAAAGAGTAAAGTTGTTAACAGATGAAACCTGATGAAGAATATCTTGCATTTGAAAGCTTGTCTAACTTTAACATGAGCTGGATAATACTAATAAAGAGATAAACCTGCCCTGGAGTGGCATAACTTTAAGCCACCTAAAGTGCGTTTAAAGCTAATTTCAGGTGTTAATGTGTAGATAATCCAGGGGCTAAGAGCTCCAGGAACCATCTAAAATTAGTTTATAACAAGGCCCTTACACTTTAATTTTAGGTGGCTCCTGGAGCTCTTAATCTCTGGATTGTCCACACATTAACACCTGAAACTAGGTAGGGGGCTAGATGAAGTCCCATGACCTGGAGCTTCTTTCCTGGGGCAGTGGCAGTAGCTCCCCCAAAAGCACCTTCCCTCACTGCTCCCAGCTACCCTGAAAAGTATGACCAGCACCCCCTACATCCCAATCCCAACCCCAGTTTACTGAAACATGAGACCTTATTTACTTCTTTATTTTTTTTTTCCTACTTCTTTTTATTTTATCCTTCAGTGGCTCTATTCCTTCATTTCACACCCCCATCCACATTTCCTTTCCACCTTCCATTTCATTACCCACCACCATTCCATTAACTCTCTACCCCCCAGCTTCATGTTCCTGCCCCCTCCCCCCCCAATACATCTCTCACCCCTCCCCACTCTATCCTGGGTCACCAGCTCTCTAGTAAGAACTAACTCACTGCTAGAAAGTTTCTAGTCCAGTCCTTGCTTGCCAGCCCTCTAGTGGTAAATCACAGTTGATTGGGAATAGTCAGAGAAGATTTTGAGCCTTAAGATACAGGTAGACCATTATCTGGGCTCACAGGCCACATAGGGAGTTTTGGGGAGCTGTTGTGGGCTGGGCAGGCACCCCACTCCATGCAACAGTACCCCAAACCTCTGTACACAGGACGGGGGCTGTGGCAGGGCAGGGAGCTGGGATGGGAGTGGGTGAGCTGGTGTGGGCAGTGGTGGCAGAATCTGCAGGAAGGAGCCACAGGGCAGTCCTGGTGCAGGCTCTGGGTTCCACTTTTTCCCACCATCACCCAGTCATCACGGCCAGGACAGGCGAGTCCAGAGCAGATGCTGCAGGGACCCTGACCCCCATCGCAAGCTGGGCTAGAACCATGTTTTGTTTTGTTTTGTTTTTTTTAGGAAAAATTTTCATGTCAAATAAGCCAAATCAATTCCAAATCCATGAGTCATTCAAGAACCGTATGTGGCCCTGCTACCAGCAAGCATCCTCCACGTATGCCTGGGGCTTCATATGCTTCCAAATCCAGCCCAGGACATGGGCCCTGCCTGCTGCTGCCAGCTTGAGGCCCTGAGCAGGCAGCAGCTCCTTCCCACTGCTGTTGCCACCAGCCCCAGCCCCAGAGACACCTGCCGAGACCTGCGTGGCCAGGGCCCAGGTCCCAAGCTGAGTGCACAGCCCTAGCCCCAGCCCATCCCATGCAGGATGTTGGAGTCCCTGCAGAACCCGCTCTGGCCACGATGAGTGGCAGTAGGGGGAAAAAGTGTGACCCAGAGCCTGCACCGGGGCTGCCCTGCAGCTCCTCTCTGCCACTGCTGCCACCTCCAGGCCCCCCAAGTCCACACGGGGCAGGCCAAGGCTGAGGCTGTGCACTCAGCCCAGGGCTTGGGCCATGCCCACATGGGTCCTCGCTGGTCTCCATGGGGCCAGGGCTAAGGAGCCGCCACTGCCAGGCTTACCAGAAAAAAGGGAATTTAGCTGTGGAGCCACCGCAGTCCACTGCACACCCAGGGGTGGCAGGATGCACCACGGGCTGGATGATGCCTGGGCCAGGTGAGAATGAGGGACCCGCCAGGGGCTGGACAAAGTTCCTCCACAGGCCGGACCTCGCCTGCAAGCCGTATTTTGCCCACCTCTGCCTTCAGGTGTGACTGCTCCAAACTCAAGCTAGCACTAACACCAAACAACATTTGAGGAGTTCAAAGTGCAACGTGACAATGACCTAGGAGTCGCTCTCACAAAATGATAACCCTGCAGAAGTCAGCTATTCTTTTATATTGCGGTTACCTGATCCAGAGCAAGAAGGTCATTAACTGGAACATTTGATATTTTTACTTGAGGACTAGGAAGAAAAACTTCATATTTACACTCTGCTGTTGTTGCAGTCATTTTTATAGTCAAGTTAATTTCACCAACTCAAGTACATCCATTTTGGGATTCCTTAGGCCTCCTCCCCATAGCCACACAGCAGTATTTTATTTTAGCTTAGTGCACTAACCTGGAAATAGTTGCAGTGGGTATAGGTAGAAGCCGTAGGACTAGCACAACCACTCAGAGGATCTATGTGGGTAGTTGGTGCGCAGCACTGTAATACAGCTGAAAATAATCCAACCAGAGAAGTTATCAAATTTCTAGAACCTCTGTACTGATTCTAGGTCCTGCCCAGACTATATACATTAGTTTATAAAAGTTCATATCTACCCTACCTTCTACCCTGACTGGACAGATCAATATTGGTGCTGCAACCTCTCTTCCAAAAATACAGCATTACTCCCCTAAGGGATTTAAGAATCACATCTGTCATCTCAAATAATGCTTATTCTGTATATTTCAGATCTACAGAATCCATTGCTTTTAGTGTTAACGTTATTTAGTGAATAATTTGACAAGACCACCCCATAATACACGCTAAAGTTTGGCCCAAGAAAGAAGCCTAAGATTAATATTGCATTAGAAATAAATCTACATAAGTAGTGTACTGAAGTATAGCTCTACTCTGAAAAAATTATTTACAAATGAGGTACAATGGATTCTACTTTACTGTTTCTCAATGACTATCAAATGTGCTTAGTTTACAAGTAAATATAATTTATAGACAACCAGCCTTACACATGCCAAGGGTCAAGAGTCATCCTTGGTAAAACTACACTAGTGTCTATACCAGGGATACGTGTGGTCCAGAAGGCAAACTGGATTTTTGGATCGTCTTATTCTTCACTAACAATATTTTTTATTCAGATACAAGTTACTTTCAAAGGGTTTACACAAGCATAACCATCTGGAACTAGATAAATGTCTCTGGATTTGCTGTAAAAGAGAACAGAATCTAGCTTAACCTTTTAATTTTGTTGGCTTTCCCAGGATACTAAGTAGTAAAATCTTGGTTCATCTCTAAAGTCAACAGATATAAATGTACACAAAGCAGTAAGTCTGTTTATTAAGAAGCTGTGTATCTATATAGTCAGGTTTTTCAGTGGAACTGGACCCATGAGTCCGGTTCCTGATCAGTCCTAAATGCTTCATTTATGGCTAACCAAGTGTAACTTTTTCCTCCTCCTTGAAGGCTACATCTACATTATATGGTTAAAATACTATTGCACAAATAATCTAATCCCATATGTGTTCTTTCTACAATCACAGGAAATAGAGAATAGTGGATTTGTTAAGAAAGTAGCTCCTTACAGTGTGCAGAAGAAACAATAGTGGATAACGGAAAAGATAAAAGCACTTGGAGAACACTGGGATAAAGATTTCATAAGCACCTAAGATCGTATATCAGTTAGGTTCCTCCAAAAGGGAGAGGAGCAAGCTATGACATGTTTTACAGCAAGGCTGTCCAATCGGTGACCCACAGGTTGCATCTGAACTATGAGTGGTTAACACGTGGCCTGAGGTAGCCAGTAAAGCTGTGGAAGAGGGTACTGCCTGCACTACCCATGTGGCAATGGCACAGGAACCTGTCCTGCTAGCACCACTCATGCAGCCGGAAAAGTCCCAGGTGGCCTGCACAGAATGTAGTCTGTGTGGTATACAGCTCCCAACCACTCAGAAGTTGGACCATACAGCCGTGTCTTATAGAAGAGCAGTAAGTTGGTTTTTTTCCTGAAAAAGCTGTCAGCTATTTCACTGATGCTAACACAAGCTCTCAACTCCACATTGGTGAAGTAGCAGAGATGTAAACAGTAGCTTACATTTTCTGTAGTCTCTTATAGATTCATAGATGTTAGGGTTGGAAGGGACCTCAATAGATCATCGAGTCCGACCCCCTGCATAGGCAGGAA